ATAAAGAAAGAGTATCATAATCTGAGTCTAAGGAAAAAGCCAACTTGACCGTTATGACCAGCTTTCCAAATCAAAGTCAATGGAATACTGTTTTTAAATTTCTCAGTCACAGTTATGCAAGATTTTGAAGAATCATGAAGATATTATTTGCAAATCAAAGCAAATTGAAATGAAAATATGAAATGGATTTGTAGTGTGAAGGTAGTGAAGATTAGGTTCACAAATGTTTGTGAAAAAGATGTGTCGGTTAATAATCAATGATGCAGCAGAAAGCTGACAAATTAGCCATAAAAATTAGGGAAGATAATTTTGTAGCCACAAATTGCTGTCTTAGTCAATAAAAGAAAAGAAAAAGCATTGTTTACACATGCAATCATGATAAAGAAAATATACTGATTTACCTGCTGTATGAACGTGATTGTCAAATGAATGCCCTAAATTGTCTACAAAGTACCATCCTGAAAATATTTGTAATGCCATTGAAACAGATTTTTACCATTGTGCATTGCTTCAATATACATATTCGTTTAAAACTGAAAGTTTTACATGCATGTAAATTATGGAAAGATTGTGAGACCATTTTAGACTATGTCAATATGTGCCAAAAAAAGTCTGAAAGCTTTCAGGTTTTATAGTACACCCCCCAAAAGGGCAACATTTTGTGTGTTATCTTTATTTATTTAATATCATGTTCTTCGTACTAAAACCATAAAATTCAATTTAACAGCAACATCACAAAATATTTAGATGAGCCTATCTTTAGAATTTCCGATACACATTCTCGCGCGCTGGAGATCAAAATTTTTTTTCGTACAGTATTGCCATTGCTCACTTTGAAATCGTTGAGTTTGTTAATAAAAAAATTCGTTAAAGTTTTACAAAATATGAAATCGATAATAAAACAAATTCCAAATTAGAACTACCAGATATTCGGTGAAAGATTACGTTATTCAAAATTGGATAATTTTAGGTACCATAGAGCTCTCAATCATGGAAGATAAATAAGCAGCTTGGCATAAAGTTGAAAAGTTAGAACATTTATACAAAATCTTTATACAGTAAGACCCCGCTTAACGCGGGGGATACGTTCCATCAAAGTAGAGCGTAATGCGAAACAGCGCTAAACGAGGCTATCTTTACATGTAAATATTGGGGTTAGGGGAAGATGGGCTAGGAAATTGGTTAGGTATTAAATTTAAAAAGTATGTTTTTTTTATAAAAATAAAACCAAACATTTATTTCTTAAAGCCCAATTAATACCACATTATTATTTCTTGCAAAAATAAAAACAAAATATAATAACAAAACGAATATTCTTAAAAAAAAAATAAAAAAAAAAAATAAAATTCTCAGTCAGTCATATTTAGTTAGCCTTCCGCGTTTTCAGTGTCTGCCTTTTTGTGACAAAAGCATCTAATGTTGTTTGCCTTTTTCTTTGCGTTGTTCTCTAAAAGTAAAAGTTCTTCATAACGGATAGAGCATCTCTAACACCACGCCTTTGAGCTCCTGTCAAAATTCGATCATTTTCAATGAATTGATCCATTATTTCAGTTATGGTAGACAAACTCCTTTTTACAAACGCCATCGAAAGTTCTTTTTGCTCTTCTTCTGAATCCTGCTGTCAACATTTTGTTTTTTCTTGTTCAGTTAATTCCTTGAGCTCATTAGAAAGACTAGCCGCTGCTTCTTGAATTATTTCTTCGACATCTTCCACATTTACCCCTTCAAAATATGTCTGTACAATACCGCACCAAACAAGAAATACAAGTACACTCTTTCGGATATGTATTTGAAACCTATCGCTGCATAATATTTCGGGGAATCCCCGTATGCTGCGAGCGATTTCGTGGAATCCCCGGGTTGAAATAAAAGAGCGCTAAACGAAACAGCGTTAAGCGGGGTCTTACTGTACCAGTTTCTGTGACTCGGTAAGGTCTGGTTCGAAATTCGGCTTTCTAATCTTCATAGAGTCCTCATCTGAACACTCTTTTAGGAAATGGAGAGAGTATTTAAATTCTGCTACAGGGAGCTACACATCTAATTAAAAAATGCAAATTTTCAAAAGCAAATTTATAAAAAAGTATGTCTCAATCTTTATTGCGCCATTCCTCTTTCTCGTGACGTATCATAATGTCATTTCTTCCAAACTGTTTTCATTCATATTTTCTGTAGTATTGCTGAAAAGTGGCATAAAACTAAAATTGTTCAAAGAACCTATCTTATTTGATTGATTTCTTAAGAGGAACTATATGTTTATGCCCATTCATTTGAGAAATATTTAATTGTGCAAACTTTCCAAACACCCTGCGTAAAAAAAAGTATTATCGGGAAAAGTGGCTGCCATCTTTGTTGCTTAAATTAATTCTAAATTTCTATTCTAGGAAAGCAGCCTGACTACTGTAGGTGAGAAGGCTTATGTAAAATCAGCAGATAACTTTTTAGTTGTTCCTGCAAAGTAAAATGCCAGTCAGTAAAATATTCATTACGCATTAACTAATTAAAAACTGGTGTTCTAAAGCTTTTTAAATGCAAAATTCATGAAAATATGATTAATAAACATTTTCACCAAAAGCTATAGGGCCGACGATGAATTTAATGGTAAATGCTGTTTTTTACAAATTGCAACTTTTATTTTGTATTTCTTTCCAGGCTTCTTTAAATTAAGTCAGCAATAAGTATGAAATAAATTATCTAAATCAGTAAATTCATTCTTGAACATCTCCTTGAATTTAACTCATAATGGAATGAAACTCTTTATACTTAATTCATTAAACCGTCATGTAACTGGAATTTTCATTGTGCGGGAATTATGTAAAACGTTACATTTTTAATCAAATCTTATCCACCCACGGCACTGATAATGTTTTCGTAAAATTCTGTAGCTTGTCTCAAGAAACTATTTAAAACTTATATAGTCATCTTTAATTTAGGAAATGAAATCTATAGCCAAAATTTTCAAGCATACTATATAGTATTTCTATGACGCTACCAGCGATGACACGCCTGTGCTTTATTTTAAAATTATTTAAAAATAGAAATATTTTCAATTTTTTTGTATTGCTCAATATTTCCTTGATTTGCCAGTTTTAAATTTTCAATCTCGATCATAAATTCCTACTTATTTGCATATATATTTTTTATTCCTAAATGTGATTTTTCAATAAATTTAAGCATACGTTCGTTATTGTATTTGTTTACTTGTTTATTTATTCTTAATTAATTTTCAGCAACTCTATGCAGCTGCAAATCTGCCGCAATATGCTTATTAACTTGCTCATCATATTATTAGGGTATAACTTTCCCCTTTCCCAATTCTAAAAACTTGTTCCCTCCTTGTTTCCAAAGCACCTGTTACTAGTTTTTTTAATGGCACCTGTCGGGGTCTTTATAAATGGCGTTCAAGTTGCGCACGCCCTACTACCCCTACCCTGTCATAGTCATATGAATTAGTACAACCGAAAGAGAAAAAAAATAAAGCTATCTTTTTCGGTTTTTATTTTACTTTTATTTATTTATTTCCTATTAAAACTTTCCATAATCTTCTCGTGTTTTCTAGTCACTTATAAGATTAAATATATTAACTGACTTTTTTAAAAACCTCTTGCATTTTATTTGGTTGCAGCATACTACCAGATAAAATCCAACACCCTTTTAAAACAGTACTGCCATTTGGAGGTTTGAAAATTTAAATAATATATATCCGAGGAAAAAATAGCACAAAATGCATTTTTGTATTTCAAAAATCCCAAAACATATTAATTAAGTAAAAAATTTCAAAAGAGTGAAATGTGAAGCAAAAAAAATTAAGTAAAAAAAATTAAGTAGACCATGTAATGTCTAATGGCAGAGCACATAAAAAATAAATAATAATACTAAAAAAACGACAAAAAATTCTGAAAGCTTTCAGATTTTATATTACGCCCAAAGGGGCGTTTTTTAACGTTTTGTGTGTTTGCTACCTTTACTTTATTAAATATCATGTTCTTCGCACTTAAACCATAAAATTCAATTCAAAGGCAATATTGCAAAATATTTAAAAGAGCATAATTTCGGATACACACTCTCGCGCACTGGAGATTAATTCCCTCCCCCCCAGGTTCAGTGTTGTCATCACTCGTTTTGAAATCGTTGAATTTATTAATAAAAAATTCGTTGAAATGTTACAAAATATGAAATCGATAATAAAACAAATTTCAAATTCCAAATTAGGGCTTCCAGATGCCCATATTCGATGGAAGATTACGTTATTCAAAATTGGATGGCTCTAGGTACCGTTGTTTTATCACAGTGCGAGAAACATACATACATTCATCCATATTCTTCATTATTTAATGCCGGGTTCTAACATTTGGTGGCAACAATTTGAAAGTGAACCGACGCAAAATGCCAAAACGAAATTAATAGCCCTTCTGGGCAGATTGCCCCTTTGGGCTAATAACACATCTCTGACGGATTTTTCAGAGAAATAATGCACAGTAAAACATCCGATGAAGTAAGAGTGATTGAGGGAGTTGTTCGTAAGATAGTATCATATTCTACATAAACATTTTGGTAATACTTTCAAGCTCAGATATTTTCATTTCAATTTGATTTGTATCAAATTGTTAATAGATAACACAGAATTATTCTCATCTAAAATTTTGTATAGCTTTATTATTTTGAAAAGTTCTGTATATTTATTGTTCTTAGCTTAGCATCATTTTGGAAAATTTGCAGTGAATAAATATGTTCATCAGAAACTTTCTGAATTATAAGCTTTCAAAGTGTTAAATATTTAATGAAGACGAAGTTATGAAAGCCTTAATTTAAGACTTAAGTATTTATGAATAAAAAGTGCCGGATTGGTATCTTCAAGACTAAGAAAAACTTGCTGTCCTTGATCTTGATTGTAACATTTTTTTTTTTTTTTTTAACGATTTCTTTATATTTGTTGTGTTTCTAGTATACATGCGCAGCAGATGCGAGGTAATTTAGAGTATTACATAAATATTCTCCTTCAGATTTTTCCGACTCACCCCCACCTGCTACAGTTCGAAGAAAAAAGATGAAGATGCATCAAAGGGTGAATGCAGATCGCGTGATTCCCGCCCTTGGCACCACGTGGTTCCATTGTGTAAACACCCGGTTGGTGGCTCAGTTCCTGGATACTTCAGTACGCCAGGTGGGCTAACCCTTAATATTCTTTTCATTATCCATCACTTTTTTAGCATGATTCTCACTTCCGTCAACATTTCATTCTACGCCTGCTCACTTTTCCCCTTAAATAGCAATCAGCTATACTTGGCTGATTATTGCTGTGTTTTTCTTTTTCAGCTAAATTTAGGCAGTTCACTCTTGCACTTTATTTGCTACTCCACAAAGCGCTTTTAAACGATACCGAAACTCCTCTGAGACGACCACCTACAATTTCAGACTATTTTCGTATCTGTAGAGATAGTTAATTTTACACCACACGATTATCAATATGTTTTAATATCGGTGTTTTTATGTTCACTTAAACATGGTTTAATCATTTTCAGAGTTTCTCTATATTATGCGTATGTAAAATGTTTTAACTCCTATTTTATAATTTCTCTTCTTATTAAATGCGAATTAGTCTTAAACAAATTGAAATATATCCTCATTTTTAGAAAGGTATTGTAAAATTTGTATAATATAAAAAATTTGAAACGGCAGTTTATCTTCCCCCCCCCACGCGCATACTTCCTTCTATAAATAAAGACATAATATAGGATTCCATAAATATAGCGTATACATTTCGTTCATATACCATAACAATAGAAAGCAAAAATCAATATAAGGATAAAAATTTTAAAAGCATAAAAAATGCGAGAAAAGAACGAAGAAATTTTTGCTATATGATACCTTATTAAAGAAATTACCTATCTAATAAACTACTAATTACAATTAATAATCACCTATGCAATAAACATATTCGATGATTCCTGGAGGAAAATACATCATTTTCAACTAGGTTTTGTATTCCGGACGTACAAGAAACGAAAATTTCGTTACTTTGTAGAGTTATTAGGTTAATTGGAAGCAGAAAGATGAAAAATATGCAACCGCCTTCGCCGAGAATCGAACCACGGACCCCTGGAATACCGGCCCAGCGTGCTACCGTTACACCACGAAGGCACGCTGGAAAGCGGGAGAAATACCTTATAACTTCATGTATAATAAATAGTAAGACAAGTTGTCGATGCCGCCCAACCGGTACAGTGGTTAGCGTCGGGGCCGGATTTACATATAAACTATACAAGCTATAGCTTAGCCCCCAAAATAAAATATAGTATTAATATTAATAGCATATATTATAACAGATTTATAAAGGGTCCCATATCTCAAATAGCTTAGTGATCAAAGTGTAAATCTGGCTCTGGTTAGTGATCAAGGGTAAATTTGGCTAAATCTGGCTCTGGTTAGATTCGCTAACTACCGTGCCGAAGGGCCCGGGTTCGAATCCCGGAGAAGGCACGAATGTTTGTAAATGTCGTTACATTCGGTGCGACATGGCGACACTTTAAATATGCAGCGAGCCGAAAGTCCTCTCGAGAGGTTGGTGGAAGGTGAGAGGAGAGGCAGACCCTCGGGCCCGTTCCCCTCCTGGGGTGCTCCCCATCAAAACTGAGGGCGGAACTGAGCTAAATCTCACTGTCAGACAAGTTAGCATAAGTAACAACAAAAAAATTGTCGATGAAGAATAACGCGGTTTAGTAATATATACTTACGTATCAAAATTCTGTTTCGTACGTTCGAAAGTAAGTTGTCGGTTTTGTGCATCTCCAATAGTAAGTTCTGCTGATGCTGATGCTGATGCTAAGCCCTGAGATTCCTCAGTAGGAGTTGTCTTTGGTTCCGAGTATGAATCACGTGATCTGGCCTTCGCTGTTTCGCTCTTTGGCCTTGCTTATACCAGGGTGACTCCACTTCACCAGTCAAAGAAATCAGTGAAAATGAGATCTGTCAATTTGCTAATTGTAACAGCGCCACCAAGATCGGAACAGCTGAATTCTATTCTATAATTGCAACCGAGAAATTTACAATACAGTATCTTTGTGTTCAAGGATTATCAACAATACAGTATCTTTGTGTTCAAGGATTATTAACAATACAGTATCTTTGTGTTCAAGGATTATTAACCGATCTAAGCCTCCGCGGATGTACCTTCAGCTTGCTGAACCGTAGCGACGATCTCTCAACAGTGGGATTTTCTGATCATATTGAGCGGACAGTATTTATGTGAATTCTATCGGTATTCATTTATTTACGTGGAAGTCTTTCGGTGTTATTTTATATCTGATTAGAGTAGTAAAATAATCATTATTTACAGTGATGACCATCGATGGATATGATAGGTCTGGTTCAGTTCTGGTGCTATTGTATAATTCAATATAATGATATGGCAATATAATAAAATTAAGTATATATAATTTCTTTGTGTTTATTTATTTATGTACTGCTGCATTTTGTATGATTTAGTATGGTAATGTTATCAGCTTCTTTAGTTTCTATCTTTGTTCCCGGGAATAGGTTTACCTGTTGCAAGAATACCGTGTAAAGTTTAATCATACTAAAGATGAATGTGTCAATGTAATGTAGAACATCCTTTGAATTAGCTTATTCATCTCATGACACATTCTCTAACATAGACTATCTTGTGAACTGTATATCTGTGATCAGAGATGTCTTTTGTAATCCACAGTGCTTTTCCTTGGAAACTTATAATAATAATGTATATAAATAGAGCTTCAATGTACACTGTGCAAAAAAAAAGGGGGGACAGTTTGTAGGGTTTCACTTATTTTGCATAACAAATTTATTTTAAGTTTGATACCTTTTATTGAACTTCTCAACTTCCACTCACATTTTTTCGCCAGGATGTAAATTTAAAATTAAGTGAAGTGCGTATTTAAACGGGTGAATCTCTGAGTTTATTCAGAGCGTGTTTTCGCTAGCCAGCACACGTTTCGTTGTTGTTTCGCTGTAGCTAGTAAGCCTCTTGGCCATTTCGGATTATTATCACGCCTGTTAGGTTTTTGTGAGTCAGCCTGTTAGGCTTAAGTTATGAACTATCCAGCATGTCTTATTTTAAATTTTTGACTCGAATTACATTCTACGTTTTTAGTTTTACCGCAAGTTTGATGGTGCCATTGTAACGCACGAAGATCGTGCCTTTCTGTTAACTATGTGAATTTAATAAAGGGTTATTTTCTCCCTTCTTCTGTGCTGGTATTTATTCACGCCTGTACGAGAATTCGCCAGGTTCATTGTTCTAATTTAGTTTACGATCTAATTTAGTTTATGTGGAAAAACAGAGAACGAAATTTCATAACTTTTAAATTCTGGAAGAAGGAATCAAGTAAGTTTAATTTTAAAAAAGTGTGTGTGTGTAGTGTACATGCTTCCGATTACGAAGTGCAATCGAAAAATAGGAAACATTTTCCGTACTTCTCGTAGTTTTGCATAAGGAATGATTTAATATGTTTATTATACATGTTAGTAAAGATCCTTTCCTTATTTCAATATAATGAATATTGAATCTTGTAGGAAGAATAAAGCTAATTTTTCAGAATAAACAAAATACTTTTATTTAAATTTTAAAACAGAACCAAAAAAAAAATAAATACTGCAGCTCTAAACTATCAAATTTTAAACTCTTAACTACTACAGTCAAAATTCTTACAAACTATTAAAATTCAAAATCCTCCACTCTCTAAAAAAAATATATATATATATATATATATATATATAAATCTTTCGAATCCTCTTCTTGTTGCCACACCGTAAAATGCAAGTTCTTGTCCTATTATTTATATTTCACGTTCTCTTTAAGTCACGATCTTCACAAGTCATGATCTTTACAAGTCACGATCTTTACAAGATTACAAATTTATTATACATGTTGATTCTCAAGATCCCCATATAATGAAATACAGAGATGAATTGGAGTGTATGTATAATGAAACGTCCATGACGATGCTCTGAAAATAGGTAGTATTTTTAAAAACGAAGCCAAAAATTAAGCTTTGTTTCTGATAATAAGAAGAATAAGCATGGGAAAACTCTTTCATAGTTTATTTCTGTAATTCAAAATGCAGAATAAAGACAACTTGCCGATGTTAAATCTTGATAATACAACGCGCCCTCTTTTTGCCACTACTACAAAAATTAACCACTATTTCAATGGCCGCTTTCTAAGACGGCTTTCAGCTTTCTAAGACGATTACCTCCATAAAATATAAAAGATGGAACCATGTAGAATAATGGAAAGTCATCTTACAGAATATTCTTTGTATTTTTGTTTTGCAAAAATTATCTTTTTTGTGTATTCTGTAAGGAAAGATTTTATAGATTTAGTGTTTGGAAGATTAAATTTCGTTAAAATAAACACAATGAAACGTCTCATGATGATCATCTTTCAAAGTGACCAGCATTTTTAGAAGATACCTTAGTACCAAATATAACTTTCTAAGGCACAACTACGAAAGAACAAAATCGCTTGGAATCGTGAATGGTCATCTTAGGGAGGCTCTTTATTATTAATTTAAATTCATAATTTGAACGCGATTTGTAGTTTCGAACGTAACATTCAACAAATCGAATAAATATATTCGTGGGAAAGAAAAGTTTGCAATACGAAGTCCGCCCGCATTTTATTACTTTTATTTCGAGAAAATTTATTCTAAATTTGCCTATTAGGTCTGCCACCTGATTCGAAGTATTGAAGGATATTCATGTGTTTCAAAAATTATCATGTGGTCCCTGTGAGGTGATTATTCAGTCGGAAACGTCTGATAATTATGAAACAGGAAACAGCTGTGAAGGTGTGGAATTTGTCCCCCAACACTGGACATCACGCAATCCTCGATTTACGTTTATCGTCGTATTTCCGCGTTACTTGGTTACTCGACCATAACGATAAATGAAAAACTGTTCTGGAAGATTTCGGAAGGAACTCTTAATTTAGGTTTATATCATTTTATTTATTTTACTCATTCCCTCGCCACCTCTGACATCGAAATTGCGGAACTGGGTTTTGCTAAGCACCTGGCGGAATTTAGGTTGACTTCATACGAAAGCCGCTATCGTTTTCCTTCTACTGCATCCGTAACTAACTTGTAAAAACAGAATTGCTGGTGATTGTTGGTTTGCCTTTGTGCTTGATTTGCAACAACTTTTGCTTGTCTGACATTAGGCAATATAGCACTTTAAATATCTCTAGTGGCAAACCTTCATTTTTTAAAATAAAATTCATCGACTATTCACGGCTCCAGATGTTTTTTTTTTTTTTTTTTTTTTTCCTCCTCCCCGTTTGTGTGTGTGTGGAGGCAGTCGCCATAGAGAACAGACTGATGATAATAATCAACATCATTATTTAATTGTGTTTGGATGAATAATAATACCGATGATTTTAAGACAATAATAGTAATTAATACATCCAAGTATATTTTAAGACAGTAATCCGGTAAAAAAAATTGTAAATCATTCATAACCAATCGAGTATTTATTTTTTAATATTCCTTCTGGTATACTGATGTGATGGATTGCCGCAAAGGTTTACGAAGCTGCAGAAATTTGCTTCAGAAGAGTGTAATTGAGATTAGAAAAATAATAAACATTATATTGAAATTCGATTATCTGCAATTTAAAAAAAAAAAAAAAAAAAAAAAAAAAAAAAAAAGCCCTTTCCTTGCAGGACTCAATTTGAAAATCTGATCAATATTTCTGAGAACATTAATAAACATCTATATTGAAAATCATTTCTCTAGAACAAGCAGTTTCACATAAGATTAAAAGTCGTCTCAGGAAGGTTTCATTGTTTTATGGGTGTTTGCCCTAAAAATGTTTCTTAGAACAACCAATACACATGGGTTTTAAATGTATATGACACACTAAAATCGTCTGGAATCGTCAGAGACTGTCTTAAAGAGAGTTTATTGTATTTGATTCTTTAAGCAATATCATTAATTTGATTAATGTGGGTAACTTAAAGAAATGTGAATCCAGAATACTTCTTTTTAAATATGAATTTTAATCTGCATGCATTTAAATTTAAGATCACAAGCAAAGAGGAAACGTTTAATTCTCCTGTATTTGCAATATTTGATACTTTCAATGCGTTTGAAAAATTAAGTATTATTTATATTTCTTCTTTTTTCTTTTTCTAGTATATGACGAATAGCAGTTTTAAAGTGGTACAGAACATTTCTGCTGAAGCTTACTTAACAAGTTATCAATAACAATGAAACAGTTTCAGTGGTTTCTGTTGTGTGTTTATACATTTTTCTAAGTATAAAATTGATTTTTAAATCACAGAAAGAAATTGAGCTATGAGTAAACATTTTTGCATTCTAATTCTTTATAAAAAAAGTATAAGAAATATACTGGAGTGAAATAAAAAATATTTCATTTTTCTTTTTAATGATATATTTTGTGATGTCACTCCTTGCTTTGACATGTGTTTCTACAAAAAATTGTTTCATAATTACTGATCTCTAAAAGTATAAGCGCAAGAAAGCACATACTAATCGGAGGTGTTTTTAGCCCCAAAATTATCAGAAATTTATAATGTTGTGAAATCCTTATTGCAGCTAATTCCAATTATCTGTAATTTTTGCTAGTTATTTTAATTCCGATATTTTTTGTAATCTGTAACGGAACTAAGCTTTTTAACAGTATGATTATTTATAAAAAATTTAAATTTTTATTCTGTAAAACAAATATTTTGTATTCAATGTATACCTTACAAACAAAATAGCTTTTAAGCTGATTTTTCATTATGAAATTATAGTTTTTTTATTTCCTTATTTCATGTTATTTCAGCTTGCAGTCATGAAATCACCAGTTGCTCCAAATGTTGCAGTACGTTACATTATTGATGAATCAGGGATTGTTTTAACAGGTAAGCAGAGTATTGGAATAAAATGAAAACTCTAGAAGTGAGACCCATGGTTCTAAATCATTTTGAAATTTGGGAAGCTTTAGAGAAGAAATATTCAATAACGATGCTTATATTCTGAGAAATAATGGTCAACTTCATTCTATTTCTATTGCATATTTCTAATTTAGATGTATAACTTCTTGGACTACGTGCAGTTTAATATAAAATAAACTATTGCAGTTTATAGTATTGTGATATTTAATAATTGTTTATGCTTATACAATCTTGAAAATAATAATACGAATTCTAAATTGCATCTAATTATAGGTAATATAAAAACAGTGAAATTTCCTTAAAATATTCAGCCATTATGAGGTTTACTGTTAAAGGGAACTCTATTAGGGTGACCTTTTCCTTAAGACGACCAGTATTTCTGAGACTATAAATAAACATTAGATTAAACATCTCCACAGAAAACCAAAATCATGGGTGGTTCACGGTATTTATAGAGGCTAATTTTAATATTTGCAGTTTCTAAGTCAACCGGGTAGACATAGTTAATTGTGTGCAAAAATATCTTTTTGGGTGTAGTAAATCATGACACCAAAATTGTAATTAAAACATAATATATACTGAAAATGCACGACAACTGAAATACTGAAAGGCTGAATTTTAATCTTTTTTTCTTTTTTAGATGATGATATGGAATTTATCTCAATGCCAGATATGGAATGTTTGAATATTTCCACTAAAAACAATTTCCTTACAGCCGAAATAACTGGTACAGGAAGAACATTTGCAACTAGTGTGTCAGCTACAAAATCATGATATATGCTTTGTGCTAGTCATTTCTTCTGTTTTTTATTTATGAATATATATTTCAAATACTGTAATAAACTTTAATTTCAAAATAAAATATTTTGTGCAGAATAAGTATATATATCATTCTTGGTGTTGGAACTAATACGATACTGAAAGAATAATTAAAGTATTGAAACAAAAGTATAGTAACAACAGTTTGGAGCATTGACTCTTCTTTTAAGCTTATAAAGTATTTTCTCCCATCTTTCAGCATGCCTTCATGGTGTAACGGTTAGCACACTAGGCGCGCATTCAAGAGCTCTAGGCCCGAGTTCCGGTGAGGACATTGCTAATTTTTCATGTCTCCTGCTTCGAAAACAACCTAATGTCTCTACAGTGGTGCCCGAACTAAAAGGTGATGATTCTTTCAACAGGATTTGGTGATTGGGCCCCGTAATCCGCAGTCGCCCTTTAAAAGGGGAGTATATAAGATATTTTCTCGGCAAGAAGATTGTTCATTTTTCATGTCTCTTGTTCCAAATAACTTAATGTCTGTACAAGCTTAATGCGTCTACATATAATAAAACAAAGAGTCTGTCTGTGTGTGTGTGTGTATGTCTTTCGTTCGCGCTGCGCGTAAGCTAATAGACCCACGGCTACGAAATTTGGTACATAGGTGCATCTAGATGAGAACCAATGCACCTCGAAGCGATTTTTTCGAATTCGAATTTTTTTTATTTTATGTTTTGTGTCGAAATCGCGTCATTTTGAGACATAATGGGCTATATGAAAGTGAGATTTTACTCTACACACTCCATTTTCACATCGTCATGAAACGTAGGCACTTAGCTATTTTACGAACTTAAAATAAATTTCGTGTTTCAATAAATCGATTCAATACGAATTTATTTAACAAAGGGAGTTTAACACCTTTTCAACGGATTTTTTCTAAAAAAGTTTATTTTTAAAAATGTATAGTTTATTTTTCTTTGATTTTTGGACACGTTAAGCTTTCAACCTTGCGACTGCTTTTACAAAAAGAATGTTAGAAAAATGATAATATTTTGTATTTAAAAAAAAAAAAAAAATGTTTAAATGAAGCTTCCGAGTACACATCTCACATCTTTAAAAATGTGATTTGGGCAACAGTTTTCCTGTCTTATTGTTGTTGATAGATTTTTGATGAAATCGCATTATTTTGAATAGTTTCATTCTTTTAGAAATATGAGTTTGGCAACAATTTTTCATCGTATTTCTTATGTCACTGTTTTTAAGAGATTGGCATATTTCATTGTAATTTTTTTGATATATATAATACATTTTTATTGGTGGTTTTTTTTTTTTTTTTTTTTTTTTTTTTTTTTTTTTTTTGTGTGTGTGTGTAAAGTTGTTCTGCAGAGTAAAATTTCTGCCCGGAATTTTATGTTTTTTGAGTTTTTTTTCATGTTTCTGCGCGGAATTTTATGTTTTTTTGATTATTTCACTATTTCTAACATATTGAAAAGTCTTGCATGATTTTTTTTTATTCAATGGAAAGTTAGTTCATTTTTTATTAGGATAATTAATATTTGTATTAAGGGATATAGCTTATTTCATTGTAATTTTTTTCTCTTGAAAATATAAGTAAAATATCATTAATTATACTTTGCTTTTCAGAATTTTTTGTTTTTTGTATTCTTTTATGTTATTTATTGCTCATTTCACTGTCTTTAAGATATTGAAAAGTTTTGAGTGATTTTTTTTAGGAAACAAAGTTCTTAACCTCCTTTATACCATTTGAGTTCTTAAGATTTTGCAAAGGGAAGTTGGTTAATTTATTTATTAGGATAATTAATATTTGTATTAAGAGATATTGCTTATTTTATTGTAATTTTGTTATACGTGATAACTTTTTTTTATGAAGTTGTTCTGCAGAGCAAAATTCTACGCAGTTTTTAAATTTAACGTTTGGTGTTTACTTCAGCCATTTTTCCAGTACATTTAAAAGCCAGACGAAGGCTGGCAGCGAAGCTGCTAGTGTACTGATAAAGAACGATATATACTATAAAGTGAAGATAATTAATAATTGACTGTATTGTTGTTAAAAATAATTAACATTAGCATATGAAATTGTTAAAAAATAATAATTAGCGAAAAAAACTAAATTAATTAAAATAAAAAAGAAAGATTTTATTATTATTATTGTATGTTCAGTACAGCAAAAATGGAAACAGAGCCCTCTATAAGACGACCAAATTACACTCCCAAATGATTTTAGTCTTTTTTCTTGTGCAAAGGTTTCTGAGCATTAATAAAATAACCTTTTCATGAATATAATTTTTGCGGTTTTTGTATTTTATTTGGTTATTTTGTGAATACATTTTATGCATTTCTAATATTAATTTTATGAATTGAAAAACAGAAGTTTTAGAAATTCATAACGCAGATAAAATATTTCAAAAACAAGGTGAATATCGACTATGTATTGCTTTAGATTAATTACAGTAATGCTTAAGATTTCTAATTTTATGTTTCTAGCTGCCATGCATCTGGTAATTTATTTGAATTATTTAATTTTCATTTCCTTTTTGTTATGAGCAAAGTCCAAAGTTGGCCACATTGCAAATTAGCCAATTGATCTGGTTTGGTTTTTGTGATTACGGCAAAGCCTTGAGGGCTATTTGCCAAAGGGAAGGGCTGCCTTCGTGGAGGACTTTTTAAGAGAAATTGACTCGTATATACATTGCACATGAGGAAAACCACGAAAATGCCTATGCAGCCAGCCTATTTATGAGATTCGAACCTCGGACCGAACTACCAGTGTTCAGCGGCTTTACCGCTCGGCCCCTTTCGCCCCAAATTGATCAAGCCATTCCTCACAAAAACAACATTTTTACTTTGGTGGTCATTTCTAGGATTGACTAAGGATAGCTAACAGTCAGACATTACTTTTTAATTTGCTTTTGATGCTTTTTCACGAAATTAAGGTTAGTGGAAGAAATTATTTAATAGAAGAATTTAGAAGAAAGGTTATCAAAGCTCTCAATAAGTCTCTATGTCTCCCGGTTTTTAATTTATCTGAATTAAATCATCTCTTTGAAACGTACTTTCAGAACTGTTGATAATTAAGTTTTGAAGAAAAAGGAAATACGGAAGAAAACAAAATTGCATTCTTTTAAGGATTGACAAATCCTTAAAAGAATGCTAAAAGCAATGACCTTATTATTTCTAAATTAAATCAAACTGTGCAAATTCATTTTTTCCAAGAGATTTTTAGCATATTTTTCTAATTATTTGCAACTAATTTAAATTGTGTTAATTCATTATAGAAAATTGTAGAGCAGGGATACTCAACCGGTGGTACGCAAAGAAGCAAAGTATTTTTAGCTATTAAATTCAAACCACAATAACATCCTGATTAAGTTTTTTTTTTTTTTTTTTCTAACACTCGTAAATTTTTGCTATTTGAGCTTTGTTCAAAGTCAATAGCCGCTTATAGACTTTGAACAAAGCTCAATAGCAAGAGGGGAACGATCTATCTGCATGGCAGTTTTCGTGATTCTTTCATCTTGTACGTTTCGTAAATATTCTCTTGGCCGTAGACATAGCAAAATTTGCCATAAATGATGTTTTTAAAAGGAAGGATAGAAATGGATGCTGGCATTTTACATTTTCATAACATATTTTGATTGAGAAAATTTAATTTATTCATCGGAAATAATTTAAGAATGATTTTAATAATTTTTCCTCTTTACGTTGAACCAATAAGCATGCTTAACTAGAATTTTATCATCATTCTTGCCAACATGCTCATTTTTAGTATGTTTTAAAATTTAGGCGGTAGATGGCAGCACTATGCTGAATATCATTCTTTTTTAAAAGTAATTTTTGAATTATTCCAACTACTGTGGCTTCATTTGAATCGGAAATAAATTGAACTACAAGTAGGAAAATCCATTTATGTTTTGATATAACAGCAACAGAGATTAGTAACAAAGAAATGGAAATAATTTCAGCTATTTATTGGATTAAGGCAAAACATCGTCATATCTATCAAAAACTATCTACGTCAGAGCCTGCAAATATTTTTTTTAAAGCACCGAGAAGCCAAATTTGGGGATGGCAAAAATTCTTAAAACTGTAAGAATTTAGGAACAAAGGAAGACGCCAAACTGTAAAATTTAGTACCCAAAATTGTTACCGGTCGGCAAAATGCCTAATGCAGACCCTGATCTACTAAAGGAAAGAGGGTGCTTTCGTGGAGGACTTTTCATGGGGGAAGTATTTCGTATTTTCGTTACATATCAGGAAAAACACGCGGCTATTTGCCCCCCATTTACCCTTTCCGGCACGCTACTTTTTAAAATTGGAGTTTTGATGATAAAAAAAAAATTTAAAAAAAAAAAAAAAAAAAATTGTAGACAGTCTAATTAGGCCTAGAGGAGTACACAATTAAAATTTTGTGAAGATAACACTTATCGTTTTAATTCTGTGGGTGTGCCCAAAGTGGCACATTGATTGAATAGAGCTTCGAAAAGAGTGCTGAAACGAGCATTGTTGTCAATGAACTGACCGATGAGGTGCGGAGAAACAAAGAATACAGACTCTCAGTTGTCCTAGATTATCGGTGAGCTCAGTCTGGGCACACCTAAGGTTCGCCGTTTGATTTTAAGCAAGATTTCAAGGTAAAAGTTTAAACCTAATATAGAATAAGGAGATTAGCATACACAAAAAAAAAAAAAAAAAAAAAAAAAAAAAAAAAAAAAACATAGAAATTTCTTTTCAAACAATTCTTTTTATACCCTAAAAAACCTGGAAGATTGGTTTAAAAAATGAGGGTCTTAAAAAACTAAACATGGCTAAAATATATGGACCGGTTTGTGTTGAGCTGCCATCTACTATAAATAAAGAAAGTTCAGAGTAACCTATTGTATCCTATAAATGCTTTTTCATTCAATTTTTCTGTATACAGAAGGAAATTTTTAGGTGTGTCGCAAAGGTTTAAGAAACAATAAAAAACTGCGCAGAATTATACTCTGGAGAACAACCTCATAAAAAAATAATAATAATAAAAAATACCCCACCACCAATTTTTTTAAGTGTATTACATATAACAAAATTACAATGAAATACGCAATATCCCTTGATAC